CCTCCCCCCTCCCCCCTCACACCCTACTCGTTCAGGCCGCTGCCTCGCAACGCTGCCGCAGCCTTGGGACCCAATGTGAGTCACTGTCGGAAGTACGATTGGAGGCCCGTCTGAAATGAAAAGCGCGCCTCTTCGGCTCCGCTGCAGCACGGGCCAGTGCAGAGGCAGTGTCCCGCCACGGATGGCGATTGGTCGCTCAGGTGAAAGGCTCTTAAGGTTCAGTCGGTCAAAGTTGAGCACATCGACAATACACTAGTGGCGGACCTTGAGCGACGGGACTCTCAACAATTGCTCGTTCCCACGGCTTGCATTGAGCAGCTGCGCTCTCGGCGTCGTGCTTTCAAATCCTTCAATCTTTCGTGCGCCGTTTCAATGGCACCTGCACTTCAGCCTCATTCGAGGAGGGATCTCAGGTTACGCTTTCACCATCTGATAAAGCTACATCCACGCGAAATTTGGCATGCATTCGTGCCCCTTCCGCACACCGCAGGCATGAGCGGAATTGAGCCGCAGCCGCCGCCGCTTCGGTGCCACGTTGCAACTGCCCATCCAACGGCTCTTGCGGCATCGGCTTTCCGCACTCGCTTGCTGTTCATGCGCAAAGTGGCACTATAAACTTGCCGTTCAAAGGCCAGACCGACCAATCAGAGTTCTCTCTCTCACCTTCTCGCGACTTGACTCCCAGACTGCTTCTCGTCCACTTTTCAAAGTTCGGGAAGCAGCGTCGGCTCTATCACACAGTGCTCGTGCTACAATCATACGAAGAAAGGAGTCAAAACTTCCTACATTGCACCTCAGTGTTCCTGCGCTAAAGTCTTGCCCTTTCGTAGGGTCGCTTCATGAAGCAATCGCTGTCACTTTCCACGTTTCAGAGCCGTGCCACGTGAGTTCAGACTGAGCATGTCCCTTGAATCGGCTATGCGAGCGCTTTGCCTGCAGACTGCAGTCGTCGTGGATATAAGAGCTTCTTTTTCGCCTCGACCCCCTCTCACTTCTCTTCGATCCTCTTCCGCAACTCGACCCGCCCCCTTTACCTGACTTCCGCTTTGTCGGCTTGAACTCGCAAGATGATCGCGAAGCCTTGGGAATTAGACAAGAAAGCCTTGCGTCGTATCAACAAGCTGCCTCCTGAGCAGCGTCTCGATGGCATCGCCACGTATCAACACTTCAATCACAACTCATACAAGGTGCCATGCTACAGCTCGTGAGTTGTTCTAGACACTCATCGATGAAGGCTTCCTCATCCTGATCATCGGACGCTGACCCGACCCTATCGATGTTCAGCTTTGTCATTTACGGGCTCTTTCTTCTCCTGATCCTTACTGCCAGCGTCAACAATTTCGTTGCCTGGGCTTGGCCGGGGGCACATGATCGATGCAGGAGGAAGCTCAGGCTCTTTCGTGCATACATTTCGGAGCATCCACTCATAGCCCGCAAGCACTCCGTCGTTGCGAGCCTCCCAGGCTTGCGATGGTTGACCCTCCAGCTGCCCCTTCGCGGAGAAGCCATCATTCTTCTGTGTCTATCCCTGGCCAACTTTCTCCCACTCGTCGCATTCTATGATCTCTACGTCGGAGACAAGAACACGTTCTATCCCGGTCCCACAAGCAAGCGTGATCAGATGTACAGGCATCTTGCCGATCGGACCGCGATCCTTGGCACTGCCCAATTGCCTCTGCTCATCCTCATGGCAAGCAAGCGAACCCCGCTTGCCATCGTCGCTTGTCTCGGCATGAATCGCCTCATGCTTTTCCACAGATGGATTGCAAGATGGGTCTGGCTCCATATTCTCCTTCACACTGCTGCCTTCACGGCGATCTATGTGCAAAGAGGAGGCGCGGCAGGTGTGGCACTCTTGCTTGAAGACGCTTACGTCAAGTGGGGCGTTGTCTCGCTCAGCATGATGTTTGGTCTTATTTTCTTGTCCCTCCGGGCTCTGCGACAGTGGTCTTACGAGGTATGTGCACGCACCATCGCACAACATTACTTTCTCATCGTACCTTTGACACTGACTCCTCTCTCTCTCACTCTCTGTTGCTTCAGATCTTCGTGATGCTGCACATTCTCATGGCTTTCTTCGCCGTGTTGGGAGCCTATTTGCACATCGCTTTGATCCACTCGAGCAGGGTAAGAATCCTTCACTGTTCTTTCTTGCGCAACACCGGACATACTCGCAACAAGCTGCTGACCTTACGGGAAATGCGTCCTTATCTTGTCACCTTTGCAGTTTCAACTGTTCGTGGTGATGACCGAGATCGCGGCAGGAGTCTGGGCATTTGACCGAGCCGTTCGCTTTGCCAGCCGCGTCTTCCTGTCCTTTTCTTACACTTCGTCGGAGGCTTCTCACGCCAAGAAATTCCCGAGCATCAAGTGCGCTACAGCTTTGGTGTCTTCGTTGGATGCGACCAGCAGCAAGTACACTCGGCTGCGAATCACCCTTCCAGCATCTAGGCTGAGACTTCCTGGCCAGTCAAGACTCCCGGGCGGCATTGCGGCTGGAGATGATATCCGCGTCACCATCCCCCGCCTGCAATGGGTCGGCGAGCATCCCTTCACCGTCTTTGCCGTTGGGTTGCAGCAGGACTCGCCAGCTCAAGGCTACGTTGACCTTCTCGTCAAGACCGAAGCCGGAATCACACGCAAGATGTCTCAACTGGGAGACAATCGCGCGAGCACGGAACCCCTCGAGAAAGACATGGAGGCCGCAAGCACAGGCGAGACCGGTCGCGAAGTAGCAGTGCTGCTCGAAGGGCCGTTCGGTCTTATCCCAGATGTTTCCGAAGCCTCGCACTTGGTTCTGGTCGCAGGTGGCATCGCCGTCACCTTCTGCTGGCCTCTGTTCGTGGCCGCTGTCAAAGCCAGCAAATCATCGAAGCTGAAGTCTTGCAAGCTTGTATGGCTCGTTCGGGACGAAGGTAAGTGCCTCGACAGCCAAAATCGCGCTCGCGCAGCGCCTTGAAGGCTGATTGTAAGCTGAAGGCCAATTGACACAATCACCCATCGCTTTTTTGATGCAGGTCTTCTCAAATTCGTCAGTGAATCTTTCGAGGAACTGATCAAGGAGATGGATGGCAAGGACAACTGGAATTCTTGCAACTTCTCCATCGACTTGCACGTCACCGCGCCATCTTCAACTCTTTCGAAAGTCGTACAGGAGATGCCGCGTTCGGAATTTGTGGACACGCTGGCACATCTATCCTCATCGACGTCTCTCTCTTCAAACGAGGTCAAGGAGCAGGCTCGCTCGTCAGATGACGCGAGTCATAAGGACATGACACCCTCTTCCGAGTTCGTCAACAGCATCGACGAACAGCAAGGAGGGGAGAAGCAGCATCAGGCTGAGAGCAGCCACTCTTCTCAAGCTCATGAAGATGTCATCAGGATCAAGAGGATGCTTGGACGGCCCCCCGTTCTTTCGACGGCCTTGTTTGGCCATCTTGACAGCGATGAGCTCCGAGAGAAAGGGGGCTTGGTCGTCGGTCTTTGCGGTCCCCCGAGCCTGTGCGACGACGTCAGGGTCGAAACGGTCGATATGCTGAAGAAGGGATACCACGTGGACCTGGTCGAAGACTGCTTCACTTGGTAATTCCCAAGTCTGATCGGACTCAGCGTCCAGAACCTTTCCCGGCAGGCCATCAAAATGATAGGTATAAAATGTTTCCGTATGCCGATAAGGGGGATTTGCAGCAAATATAGCGACTTGGAGGGCTTGGCAACTTTCTGCGCACGCTCGGTCTGTGATGCTTCCTAGAGCCTTGCTGGTGATCCGCTTTGAGTCGCAAAGCTGATGCATTCAGCACTTGAATTGAGGATGAGTTGACAGGTGCTTCAGGACTGTCACGTCGACGTCAAAATGTGCGGGCCCTTCCCTTACATAATTCGAGGGAAAATGAGCCAGAAAAATATCTAAAAAAATGCGTGCTACTGTCTGTGCGGATGCTGCGGACCAACAAGATCCGCACGACTTCATCTCAAGCCAACCTCGCGAACCGTGCGCCTTACTCGAGAACATTGTCAAGGTCACAGGCTGAATGCCCTTCTTAGTGAGGCCAACGAGGCCAACGAGGGAAGAGTCACTCGGACCCCGCACATGAAGGCGCGGCTGGCCCGCTGCTTCGGTCTAGTTGTCATTCATCATGTTCGTTCCTCACGACTGCCGCTCAATGAGGGCTTCGCGCCGCGTGGTCCTGCTTTATTTTATTTTTTTCGCATTTTGCAATGTCTTTCTTGCCTCATTATGCATGTCAGCTGATCCGCCTCAATTGCATATCAGCTGATGCGCATCAAGGAACGCACCTTCTTGCGCGATTAGATCTCGCCTGTACCCTTCGGCAGCGAGACAACGGAACGGAACTGGAATGCAAGGCAGAATCCCGCATGCACATGCTGCTTCAGTAAAGTGCAGCGACCGAGATGCAGAAAGCCCACCTCAGAGACAAGCCCTTTGCCACGTTACCGATCTCGCCCGTTCCTCCTCCATCCCTCTCGAAATCATGAAGGCGGAAGCCTGCAGTGATACGTCAGAGCCTCGAGCCTGCGGAAAAGATATCGAGCACGCCTCCAAGCGGCACAGCCTTTGGCTGCCACTTTTGACGGCAGTGACATGGCCTCAGGGCGGCGTAAAACCGTGCGTGAGAGCTCTGACATAGAGCGAGGATCGATGCTCCTGTCTCCGGTACCTGCATCTGACCCCCGCAGAGCTTTCACACGTCCTTGAAAGACCTCTTACTTATATACGACATGTCGTTACGGGGCTCCTGAGCCGACCGGTCTACCTGTACCACACCCTCTCTCCTACCTCTCTGCACTGTCGAGTCTTTTACAACATCCTGGAGCCAGACCCGGCGCCCTAGCCTGACTCGCTGCCACTCAACGTGGTCCCTCTTATCCTGCTCACATACGACGCCTTGTAGCATCGCTGAGCACGGTCTGCCCGTAATGATCTCGCCACCGTGGGTCCTCGACTCATTCGCCTTCGACCACATCAACTCACTGTCAGAAGAGCAGAGGGACTTTGGCTGGCAGACGTTCCGTCACTACTATTACAACTCGTACAAAGTACCCTGCGTCGCTACGTAGGTATCATTTGGGTCGTCAGACGTGCAAGGAAAGGCTTTAACATGCTGACGCGTCGCTCTCTGATGCCACCGGACCCGCTTAGGTTCATCATATGGAGCATCTTTGCAGCTCTCGTCCTCGGTTGCAGTATAGGTAGCCTCATCGAGCTTCTCAGCCCTCGCTTCCATCGAACGCTATCTCAACACGCCAGATGGTGGCGGGCAAACCTGTCTGAGCATCCACTCGGATCCAGCCAGCACTCTCAGATACTGGCCTGCGGCAAGGGGATGTTCTGCTGGATCACAATACAGCTTCCGCTCAGGCTCGAAGTGCTACTGTTAGTGGCCATGTTGGCGGCAAACGTCGTCCCTCTCGTCTCCTTCTACTCGCTCTACGTCGGTCACAACACCTACTTCATCGGGTCGGATCATGTCAGCCGTCGCGATCAGACGCTGCGCCATGTTGCCAACAGAGGTGCAATGCTTGGAATCGCGCAGCTGCCCATGTTGATCCTGCTCGCAAGTAAACGGACGCCAGTGGCGATAGTAAGCCAGCTGTCCATGAATACGATGATGCTCTTTCATCGGTGGATCGCGAGGATGTGCTACATGCATGTCGCGATTCACATCCTGTTCAACGCCCTCATTTTCCATTTCTCCATTGGCAATACGGCCAACCTCAAGACCCCAGCGATACGGTGGGGCATCGTCGCCACTGTGATGCTTTCAGGGCTTGTTACTCTGTCGCTCAGAGCCTTTCGCAAGAGGCACTACGAGGTGTTTGTTTTCACGCACATCACAATGGCCTTGCTCATGGTCGTCACCACCTACCTCCATATCAACCTCCTCCATCAAGGACGTGTGAGTAGCTCGGACCTCTGTCAAGGGCACTCGGCCCAATGAATGGTTCCGAGATTGACCTGAATACTGTTGACTTGCGCGTGCAGCTTCGATTGCAGGTCCTTGTCCTAGAGCTTTCGGCAGCTTTTTGGGCGTTCGATCGATCGGTCCGTCTGGTGGGAAAGATCTGCATGTCCTTTTCCTGGAGGTACTGTGACGCTGCCGGGCCGATGCGTAGAGCATTGCTAACCTGTTATGGCGAAGGGGCGTACATCGGCCTTCGGATCGAGGTCCCAGCTTCCCGCCTGCGGTTGACGGACTCTGCCCGCTTCTCCGCCCTTTCTTCATGTCCTCTTCCCGAGGACATGGAGGAGAGACAACCTCGCAGTCCTTTAAGCTCGCTCTGCAGTAGTTCAGCCTTTGAAAGAGTTAGAATCGGTGCTGGAGACGATATCCGCATCACGATTCCCAAACTACAATGGGTAGGCGGTCATCCCTTTTCGGTGCTCGCCGTCGGGCTCTGCAAATCCGGCGAACCTGGCATGGGCTACATTGACCTCGTCATCCAACGTCAGGCTGGCATCACTCGGAAGCTGTCCGAGCTTGCCCAGGAAGAGCTGCCTTGGTCGGGCTCGGAGAATCGGGGGCCGAAAGGTCCATACTTGCAAGACGCCGTCCGCTCGTTGCCGAAGCAAGTCAAGGTGTTGATCGATGGACCCTTTGGCCGAAGTCCATCTTTGAAAGGAGCGCGTCACGCCGTGCTGGTCGCTGGGGGCATCGCTGTCACATTTTGCTACCCCCTCTTTGCTAAGGCAGCTCGAGGCGAGTACCGCAGCTTGGAAACGTGCAAAATGGTTTGGATCGTGCGCAACGAGACCATCCTTGATGTGCTCAGGGCCGACCTTTCCGAGCTCGTGCAGGAGGCTAGAAGGAGAGGGGGCAGCTCTTGCCAGCTTTCCATCGACATCTATCTTACTGCGCCGCGCAAGGAACATTCGGATCGTTCAACACAGGTGGGTGTCGTCGAACGCAAGCTTAGGCTTCCGTCAAGACTGAGACCCACGTGGCAGGGACTGGGCTCTTACTCGCTTCTCGATTCGGCTTCGTCTTCGGCCACCCTCGCCTACCGAGAGGATGCTGGGACACCTGGGTCTGCAAACCTCTCCAGTGGCAGGTCGCCGTGCTGGAGAGGGTTGAGGCACGAGGCGAGTAACGAGATGGACATCTCGAAGCAGCAGTTGCCGAAGCCGGCTTACTTACAAGACGGTGTCTATCGCCACACGAGTGGGAGCAGCACCCCGTTTTCGACCAGCAGCACGATTTCCGCCTTTGATTCGAGCTTCTCCCCGATCTCGCCGCAAGTCAACTTTCGGAAGCCGCGACCTGATTTTCTCCGAGGGCCACTCGGGTGCGAAGGCGGTCGTCTGCCCTCGCCGTCTATCCAAAATTTCGCTCATGCTCAGCAAGAAGATGCAGAGAAGGTGCTTTCCAGCTACCATACGAACGGTGATGCCAAGGCTCACGCAGAGTCGAGAGTAAGCTCGCAGTACGCGGGCCGTCGGAGCGCTTCAAGCATGACCAGCACGTTGGTGCCTGATTTGCCGCTCGATCCATCGGCAAGATACTTCGGAATCGGAGCAGAGGTGCACGACCGGTGGAAGGCGGACCAGGACGTCTTAGCCGAGAGCCGAGGTGGGCTGGTTGAAGTTCGGCGATTCGAGGGCCGACCGGGATTGGCGGCGGTGCACGGGCATATTGACATGGATACGGAAGTGGATCCAGGCAGGACAGTCTTTGCGACGTGTGGTCCCGCTCCACTGTGCGACTCTGTGCGTGCAGAGGTGGTGAAGCTGCTCAAGAAAGGAGCAGACGTTACGCTGGTTGAAGATTGCTTCAGCTGGTGAGCAGAACAGTCTTCTCGCTCGGTCCTCGCTCCACGATGTGCAACATGTCTTTACATTCAAGGTCCGGTTCATCAAACGTCTGGACCATTGCCGAGACCAAAGTGGAGCCGTCCGTGCTGTATCCTGCGATCGCGTGGTGTGAGTAAGAGTGATTGGGTTGTAGACCGGCGACTTGCGGACCGCGCGACAAAGCTGGAGGGGAAGCGCCAAGCCTTGGTGGGACCGCGCGCATTGAAACTTATGCGGATGTATGTGCGCGGAGTTGCAAGCCCCGCTGGTGTGAGGGTCGTGTTGAACCGTCGGAGTGTGGAACCGCGAAAACTTTCAGAGACCCTGGACCAGCTAACAGGGTTCAAAGCGTTGATCGCCAAGGAACGCGACGTCGGTCAACCCACATGGGCGAATGGCAGCTCGCCTACGGACAGAGCAGGGCCGCTGCGCAAATTTTTCGCTCTTGACCATGTGCAGCCAGCTGATGCACGCTGCGCTATCTGATCCGAACGCCAGCGGCTGCAGCTCTGCCGGGCCTCGGCACATCTAAAGTCTGTGGTCCTTCTGCCTTGTCCACTCCGATTCGCAGCGTCGTCCGATTCTGTCCGAAGAGACTCCAGACACACAGAATAGGCCACGGCGGACAGCAAGCATGTGCCCAACGGCCGAGGCCATCGGCTGCATCTAATCTGATCGTGATTGGAGCGTTCTCCTGCATTTCTTCCCGCGTCTGGATCATTCTCTCGGCCCAGGCGGCCCGAGAGATGAAGCTTTCCTGTCACGAGCGTTCCCGCACTGGAGTTGGCCTACCTTGCCTCTGCCCAGATGCCATCCCATTTGGGAGCCTTTCCTTTTATCTGATTGCAACTTCGGCTCGGATGAAAATCTCCTGCTCCGTCCAACAACGATATAAGAAGGTTCACAGGGCTTGCGTCTCATTCTCCTTCGCGCAATACCTTCCTTCTGTCCACGCTCTCCGTCTCACCACACACACAGCTCAGCTGCCTCAGTTCACCTGCGAAAGTGGCGAGAGATGTCGCAACCCGCTCGATCTAGTGAAGTAGCTGCGGCCCCGGACACCTTCCGGGCTGCCGACATTGAACCCGCCGCCCGCTCTACCTCGTCTCTCTCGCCGCCGTCCGAGAAGGACGCGCGATCAAGCGAGCACGTTGCTGCGACCACCATCATTCCGCATCTCCCCGCAAACGACCATGACCGGGATGGCATCCTGGACGCTCAGGCCGGTGCCGTCGGAGCGACTTGGAAGCATCGCGTTCCGGCTCTGCTCATGATCATCTTCTTCACTCGTATGTTATCCCTCATTCCACTCGCCATCCTTCGACCGTGTCAGTATCCAATTGCTGACCCTCTTGCATTTCTCTAACGTACCCGCTTCAAAGTCGGAAGCAACTTTGCTCAGTCGTCCCTCTCGCCGCTCAAGTCGACCCTCAAGAAGAAGGTCCCTGGCGTCAACAACGCCCGTTATGGCGCAATCGCTTCGGCCGAACAGCTGGTCAACGGTGTGCTTCCGCTCTTTTCAGGCATCATGATCGACTATTACGGTCCCAGTATCACCTCACTCCTCTCCAGCACCGCCATCCTCGTCGGGAGCATCGTTCGAGCCGTCGGCGGTCATCGCAGCAGCTTTGCAACCATCCTGGCTGGCCAGATCATCTTCGGTTTTGGCAGCACAACCATCGAGACGAGTCAGTCCAAGCTCTACACCCATTGGTGTCGAGGTAACCAGCTCATCGAAGACGAATCGGAGTCTCAAGATGCGCAGGCCGAGCCCAAGCCGGAAACGGATTCGAAGAAAAGCAGCAAGTGGTACAACTCCTTCTCCAGCGCCGGCTGGCTCGGTTTCGTCTATGGCTTGGACATCGCTATGGGACGCGTCTTCAACGTCATGGGAAAGATGAGCTCCATCCCAGTGGGAGAAGCGACGGGCAAGTGGTACTGGTCCTTCTGGCTTTCGGCCATCTTGTGCGCTGTCACCCTCGTGCTCAACGCCGTCTACGTGATGTACGAGCGCTCGCTGCCAAGACAGATGCGCGTTGTTACCGGTCGCCAGCTTGCGGCACAGGAAGCTTCCCTTTCGGCTTCAACTTCCCTCGCCGCCTCCAACAACAACTCTGCCTCGAGCCTCACCAAAGACACGCCGTCCAAGGAGAGCAAACCATACGTGAAGCCGCGCACCCTTCGACCGTTCTCCCACCGCCACTGGAAGCTGCTCACACTGAGCGTTGGCGCAATCCCTGCCTCCTTCTGGCTCATCACCATGACACAAGTTCTGCAGTCCGGTGCAGTCAACGCTTACAACGCCAACCTCGCCGAGGTGGTCGAGCTGACCCGTGGCAAGTCCAAGCTCATGGCTGGCTACGCTTCTTCAGTGGGCCAGGTGCCGCCCATCGTCCTGACGCCGCTGCTTGGCCTCATGTTTGATCTCTTTGGTCGACGCATGTACTATGTGTCGGGCTGCGCCGCTCTGTGGGTGCTCGTATTTGTCCTGCTGGTCTTCTCCGACGTCAACGCCTACGTCCCCGTCGTGCTCGGAAGTGTCGCTCTTTCGTTCAACGCGCTTCCCTTCATCGCAAGCATTCCGCTGCTTGTCCCGAACCAGGCCTCGATCGGCACGGCGTTTGGAATCTGGAAGTGCTTCAACTCCGCGGGCTCCGTCACCATGGATGTCTCTTTCGGCGCGATCCAGGACCTGACCCCGCGAGGACGCAACCAATTCAAGAACGCATTTGCTTTCCTCATCGCACTCAAGTCCATCGACGTCATCTACGGCATGGTCTACCACGCGATCGACAAAAAGTACTTTGGCGGCGTGCTCAAACTCAACGAGAAGCAGCTCCAGCGCAAGATGCACCACGACGACGAAGAGGCGAAGAAGGAGGCGCTCCGAAAGCCCATCGCCTTGTGGACCGCAGCTGGCTGCTTGCTTCTCATCGCGTTCGTGACGACCAGCTACGTTCTGTACATCACCTACTCCATTGGCACGTAAGCCCAAGGAGACCCATCTATGTGCAATCGCAAAAGAGTCACCCTTGCAGGCGAGTCGGCGAAAGAAGTCGTGTTCGGTGTCAGCTCGATGGCATGAACGATACAGGGGAAATGCCGTCTATTAATGCGCCGCTCGAAGGCGTATCCCAATCCTGTCTGAACCACGTGCTCCAGTCCAGGTCGACGCTGGACTGCAGAAGCGCGTTGAGATTGTTCATGTCGTCCAGCGTGGAAGCAAAGCTGCCCGGAGGTTGTTCCCGGAATGCTGTGAACGAGCCGCCATGCGCTTCGCCTGCCGCTCTGTCATTTCGGTTTGCGAAACCCTCGGCCTCCTTGTTGCCAAGGCTTCCCTCGGCAGAGCCCAACTGCCACGGAGGAGCGTGATCGGGACGAGAGCCGACCTGGAAAGCTGGATTGGCCGTAGATTTGGGGACGTCTTGCTTTAGAGCAGCAGCTGAACGCATTGCAGAGACGACCTGTGGTTCTGTTGGGATGAACGGTGCGCCGCCATTAGCCTGCCGTGCTGCCCGAGACATGAGGGCCTGTGCGCGCTTCTCCCACGCCGCGACCATCAAAGAAGCCAACATGATTCCTCGTACTCGCAGCTTTGCTTTGCCATCCTTGACGTTGCTTGGGTCGGCGTAGAGATTGATTGTCGAATGGTCCTGCGTGCCCTTTCCGTTGTCAGGAGTGGCATTGTGTGTCGGGACTTGGGCCCCCTGATCTTTGCTATCTTTGTTGTGCAAGTCTGGCTTCCAGATGACAGCGCTGTCTTCAATGGCATCCCATGCTCTGTCCACCAGAGGACCCTCGGTATGGCGCCGGAGGATGTCGAGCAGGACCACGAAAGAAAAGAAGGGCAAATACGAGAATGTGCACCACTGATATCGCACAAACTTGCGTTCCGCAATCAGCTTTGCAGTCTCCTCCACCTGGATGATGCAGGCCCGGATGATCTCGCCCTCGTTCTCGATTCGACGATCGTTAAGATGCACGATCAGTCGGAGCCTTGCAATGTTCATGCGGGCATGATGTTGTGCATACTGCAAAATCATGCTGGTGGCGATCTCGGGGCGATCAAAGTAGCGTGCGAAGATGTAGCGCTCGAAGTGATCGACGGCGCTCAAACGCCAGCTGAGATCCGACACGGAAGACCGTTTGTGAGGATCAACCTGCTGCCTATAGGCGCCAGTGCGACGGAAAGGATGATGTTGAAGTTGTTGATCCTTGTACTGATGCGACCATGGCGGATGCAGCTGGAATTGGGCAAACTCGCATCGCATCAAGAGGAAGAGGCTTTCGGTCTCAGGGGACCTCAGCCGAGTCCAAGCCGCGTTTGAAGGCTGTCGAGCGTTGGAACACATCGATTCAGCGAGCTGACTCAGGTCGACATCGGAGGCGTTCATGGGCAGGCGAGTGCTAGCGGTCGCGAGTGTAGGATTGGAAGTGATGCCGGACTTCTCGGATGCGCGCATGTCGGCCAGCAGAGCCTCCCACCACACTCGCCGGACCATCTCTCGTTCGAGATCAGAGTTGCCGATTGCAGAGCCGGTTACTGCGTTTCGTCGTCCATAAACCAGAAGCAGACGCTCTGCCATTCTGAGAGCGTTACCAGAGTAGATTGCATAGGTCCTTGGATCGACGTCCATCCTCGTGGCGAGCAAATAGATCATGTACGCCTGCAGGGTGGTCAAGTGCGACGAGCGCCAGATGCTGGCCCTGCATAGCGCCGTCTGTGCATTGCGGCGGTAGTTCTCGGCAACGGATCGAGGATCCGAGGTGTTGAGCAGCCGTTTTGACTCGTGGACGGGAAGGGTGCCAATGACCAAGCTGTAGATGGCAAAGAAGAGGGCGTGGTTGTGTGCGGCTACATCGACCGAATGAGCAGCAATATCGCACAGGCTCTCGCGTACCGTGGGTATATGAAGGATCTTGACGAGTGGATGTATGTTTTGCTCGTAGATGTGCAGCAGGCGAAACATCAGGCTTGCATCGGGATGAATGAGGGCCTCTCCTGGGCAGTGATCATCGAAGGTGAGGTTCCTGGCGCCGTCATCGGGAAACATGAGGTCGACGAACTTGTGAATCACCAAGGTAGACGAGATCGCATGAGCTGGAGCAGGGTCCTGATGGAGCGAGGTTTCCGAAATCAGATCTAGGTCCGATTTGTCCAAGGGGGCATCTGTGGTCATCAAAGCTCCGCCAGCCGTTTGGAATCTCGGAGTGGATCGATGCGAACCCGACTGGAAGGGAGTCACGGTTTCGAGGATAGATTCGATGTGGCCAATGTCGGGATCGATGGTCGAGCCCGATGGCGTAGCGCCAACGTCTTGGTCCACAGGCTGAGCGACGCCGTGCACGCCAGCCTGAGACGACAGCGAAATATGCGAGCCCGAACGCCTCTGCCGCTTTCGGTCTGCTACTGATGCGTCCGGCGTTGGAGATGAGCTGGACGCGCTCAGCTTACTGTCCACTTCTGCGTGTGAGAAGTCGATACCTGCGGAGCTGAGCAAGGCTTCATATCTGCGTAAGCGTGCAAGCAGCTCGGCTTCGGCAAAGCGCTTCTTCCTCGGGCGGGTGGGGTCTACCGCCACCGGCTGACAAATGATCCCTCTGAGCGTGCAGGAGGAACACGGAATCTGCTTGTCGCACTTCGTCTTGCGCTTCTGACATTCCCTGCACGATAGAAGCTGTGCCCTCTCCGCGTCGGGTACTTGCGGCTGCGCCTCTGAGGTGGTCCGAGAACAGTGCGGATGCCGATAGGAAGGCGGTGAGGGATCCGAGTCCATCGTTATCAGCGAAACGCCAGAGATTTCCTCACGAGCTTGGTCGCTGGTTTGGTGTAATTGATTATCGCATGTTGTTCGTTGGACACAAGCGATGGTGGGAGCTTGAAGCGGAGGAGGATGAGGGCGCACGAGGTGGCTTCTGTCCAAGTTTCCGGCGGAGGTTGGACCCTGTTGCTCCGCAGTTTCGGAGGATAGATTTGTCCGTCGATTTGGTGCCGTTGAAAATTCGAGGCAGCAGAGCCACTCTCGGATGGCTTCGGGTTTTAGACGTTTCCGGACCACCAGACGAGTGCGGCACAGCAGCAAATCTTGCGCGTGTACTGAGATGCACTCTCTGACAGCGGACGCTTCTACAGCCCGAAACAACTGCGTCCGGGCGTTGGTATCCTCCAGCGTCATGTCGTATCGATGCGCTCCGGAGCTCGGTAGCGGCACTCTCCTAGTCAATGGATGTTCTGCTAAAAGATCCGATATGCAAGTCTACCAGCGCACGCCAGCCCCAATGTGTGTATAAAGATAGACCTGTTGTGATGCTTCCCCGCCACTCTCACCATCTTCCACATCCGTACTTCCCACACTTGCCGCGCTTCTATCATTAGCTTGATTGCTCAGTGCTTCCTCCACTCTATTTCAGGGCCAAGATCCAGCATGACGACCCCAACGTCTGAACAAGCGACGGAGAATGGCGGCTCACGAGTGTCCTCCATCTCGAACATCAAGCGTTCATCCGACAAAGATGTCGAAAAGAAGACGGCACCGGTATCCACCGAAAGCGGGGGAGAACTGTCGAAGCTCAAGGTTCTATCAATTCTAATCATGATGGGGCTGCTGATGTTCCTGGTTGCGCTGGACAAGACCATCATCGGTGTTGCGCTGCCATCGATCTCGAACGAGTTCCATTCGCTCAAGGACATTGGATGGTACGGCTCAGCGTACATGGCCACCAACGCGGCTCTCCAGCTCGTCTGGGGACGGGTCTACAAGGGCAATCCGGTCAAGCCCATCTTTATTGCTGCCGTCGTCATCTTCGAGACGGGATCGGCGATTTGCGGAGCAGCGCCGAGCTCCAAGGCGCTCATTGTGGGCAGAGCCATCGCAGGCGCAGGTGGAGCAGGCATCACGAATGGGCTCATTTCGATTGTCATGGCCATCGTTCCGCTTGAGAAGCGTGCGACGGTGCAGGCGAGCATGGGGTCGGTGTTCGGTGTAGCAAGCGCCATGGGGCCTCTGCTTGGCGGCGCGTTCACGGAGAACGTGTCGTGGCGATGGTGTTTCTACATCAACCTGCCTTTCGCCGTAGTCGCCCTCGTTCCGGTCATCTTCTTCCTCGACGGATCCAAGACGGCGGACAAGGGCAAGACGATGCTACCCTTCCGCGAGCAGATCCGCCAAATCGATCCGCTTGGGGCGCTGCTCATCCTCGGCAGTATCGTCTGCCTCGTGCTTGCACTGCAATGGGGCGGGCAAGCATCTTCCAATACGGAGCTCTCCTCGTGGAACACACCGCGGGTGATCGCACTACTCGTGGTGTTTGGAGTCGCTCTGCTCGCATTTGTGGCGTGGCAGATGTACATGCAGGATCGAGCACTGCTGCCTCCAAGCATCTTTGTCGAGAGGTCGGTGCTGGGCTCGTTCTGGTACATGTGGTTCTTCGCCGGCTCCATGACGGTGATGTTCTACTACGTGCCCGTATGGTTCCAGGTGGTGCAGGGAGTGGCGCCTATCCAGAGCAGCTACCGCACACTGGCAACCATCGTGCCGTTTGTGGTCGCGAGCATCTTGGGTGGCCTTGTCACCAAGAAGACTGGATATTACACGCCGCCGATGTTGCTGCCTGCGGTGCTGGGAGCGGTCGGCGTTGGGCTGATCAGTACTTGGAATCCAGACGCGAGCCGAGCAGCGTGGGCGGGGTATCAGGTGGTGTATGGCATCGGGATGGGTGCGGCCATGACGGGGTCTTCGCTCGCAGTGCAAGCTGCGTTGCCACACAGCGAGGTGCCGATCGCGATCGGAGCGGTGTTCTTCGCGCGGGAGATGGGTAGCGCGGTGTTCGTGGCGACAGCCGAGAACCTGCTCTCTTCGCAACTTGTCAAAGGGCTGCAGCAGGTTGCGGAGCTGCGCGATGGATCGGTGCAGCTGGCCCAGTCCGGACCGTCTCAGATCCGAAGTGTGGCGCAAAGCCTGGGCGATGGCGTGCTGGAGGAGGTGATTGGGATCTTCAATGCGGCATTGCGCCACGTCTGGTACCTGGCTTTGGCGCTGACTTTGGCCACCATCGTACCGTTCTTCTTGATCCGATGGCTCAACGTCAACGAGGTTGCCAAGGAGCGCGCTGCAGAGCGCGAGGCGGCCAAAGTAGAGGTGCAAAAGGTCGAAAAGGCTTGAGCGAGGCGTCTATTGCTGCTTATTATCTATGTATGTATGCGAATGATGATAATGCTGGATTGTTCGAACGAGATCGACACTGTGTGGCGGTGTGTGTCTAGATCTGCCGTGTGCCGCGCAGCTTGTTGGCTGAGTCTGAGGCTGCGCCAGCGAGGCTCATCTGGCCCTGCATTTGCTTTAGGAAGCGGTGACCCTGCATGAGAAGATCTTTGATGCGTTCGAGGTCGGTCTCGTGGCGGAAGCGATGCACGTCATCTCGGAAGAACTGGATCGTCTCCCATCGTGCGAGTGGGTTAGGGATGTCACGCGTAGCTCGAAGGTACTTGCGGTAGAGCGAGAGAGTGCGGGATCGCATGAGGAAGTGCTCCAGCGTCAGGTGGCTCGACTTGAGGTCTGCACGAGCGGCTCTTGCGACTGTGGCCAGCATGTTGGGCTACACTGGTGTGAGGGCAACGCTCAGGGTAGGGACGGAGTTGAGAGTGCGGAACAAACGGTGCGGGGCACACATCGTAATGTTCTTCTTGGCACCTGCTGCTTCCGAGATCCGAGAAAGTCGCGCCATGTTTTGATGCATTTGAAAGGTCTAACAATCTAGCTCAATTTTTTGTTCAAAAGCCGGCGGGTCGAGCGGGGCGGCAGGAGAGTGCATAAGCGAGGCGGGCAGCGAGGCTCGCTTGTGGAAGCAGCCATGTTTTGTAGAGGCGGCCACTCAATGCTGCAAATCATGCCACTCGAGCCTTTGTGCCGGCGGAGGCTGAGGTACGGCCACGAGAGGGTGGAGTGGGACGAGCTTGTTTCGCTCCGAACAAACTCGGTTGCATGAGTGGGGTCCAGTCGCCGGCAGGTGTTGGGATCTGCACAGCGCTGCTCTTTGCATCTCGTCGCTGAATCTGGTGCAAGAGTAAGATGTTGCTTGTGCCTGCCTACGTTCGAGCACTGGCTTACAGTAGAGGTGAGGATGTCCATCCGCTTCCCATCCGCATCCTCACCTTTGCTTCAGACCACTACCACCGTTTCTGTACTCTACGTCCGCATTCAAAACAACGATGGGCAACACCAACTCTGCACTGAACCGTGACCCGCCCAAGGTGCATCGGACGCTGTGCGGATTGCGCTACGACAACGCCTTCGGATTTGCATCGCACGAGCCTCGGGGCATCACGACGACGTGCTTCAACGACGTTGTGCTGGAGCCTTTGGCGACGTGGGTGCTGCTGCTAGTGATGCTGCCGTTGCTAGCAGTGGCACTCAAGAAAAGGCGCTCGAACGCCAAGCTGTCTTCGTCGACGACATCGAGACTGCTGCACTACCGCGCTTCTGCTCGTCGCGGCGACGGCAGCTTTAGCGGCAAGCATGCAAAGTTGCGAAGCGTGCTGGACGTCGTGTACATGCTGCTGATTGTGGCAGCGCTGCTGATGAGTACGTAGTCCGATCGCATGGACGCATTCCTCCCGTCTCTCGCACTGATGCTGACCCTTTTGTTGTGCTGCTGCTCAACAGACATCCTTCAGATCGTGCGCCTTGCATTGGCAGACCGGGGCGTCGGACTGCTGCCTTTCAACCTGGCGGGCATTCTGATCGTGCTGGTGCTCATGCACGTGCGAACGGCCGACGGCGTCGCTGTGAGCACAGTGTGCCTGGCGTTCTGGAGTCTGCTGATCACGTTTACCTCGGTGGCGCTGGCCGGGATGGGCAAGTTGGAAGGCATCGAGGATCGCAAGGGCACCGAGTACCTGCTGAGCGACGAGATGATCGATGTTGGAGTGCAGGTGGGGCTGTACGCGGTCTTCTGGGTAGTGGAGGCGCTGCGTGTGCTGCACCGCCTCACCACTGCACGCAAGCAGGCGCTCGGAACCGCACGGCTTCACGAACAACCTGGCTCGGAAGCACTCGGCACGACGCAATCGGGCGAAGGCAAAATGATCGGAAGCGCTTCTGCTTAGATCCGATCGTGCGTTGCTCGGCCTGAATGCAATCACACTCTCGAAGCGCCTCCTCCGAATTGTGTGCCAAATGAAGTGATGGGCTGTGCATTGTCGGATGTGATCCGCACCGCCTTGAGGAGGGGCCGAGGCAAAGACGAAAACCTCCACATGAAGCGGTTCGCTGCGAGCCGGTGCCAAGAAAGATTTCGGCGCTTTGGCCGCTTTGGCCGCGTCGAGGGCAGAGTTGACAACGTGGAGGTGTAGCTCTGCTGCGCTTTGTGCTGCCCACCACATCGTCCCATTGATTGGCCACCATCCTGGCCGCTCGCATCGCTCCGGATCGCAGGCTACGTCCGTCAGCATGTCGGCATCCGCCATCGACTTTGGCCACGAGCTGCCAGACCAGCTGCCCACCATCGCGGCTGCCTTGTCGGCGCAGCTCGCACTCGAAAGCGACCTCGCCTCCTTCCTCTCCGAACGCGCCGCCCTCGAGCGAGACTACGCCGCCAAGCTGCAGTCGCTCGTACGCAAGTATCGCGAAAAGAAGGCAAAACGCGACCAGGACATCTCCGTCGGGCCCTCCCCCACCATCGAGTGGAAGCACGCCCACTCCACCCTCTCGACGCACATCGCCGATCTCTACGCAACCCACGATGCTACCGCAGCGGACTCCAACACACTGGCAACCGGCTTCGATGCTGTCGCCGGAAGCATGACCGCCAGTACCAAGGCGCGCGACGAATTGCGCAAAAAGCACATCGCATACGCCAACAAGCTGCTCTCGGACCGCGAAAAGACCTATGCGGACAAGGACAAGGCAAAAGCGAAGTACGACGAGCTATGCCACGAGCTCGACTCACACCGCCAGAAGCGCGAAAAAGCAGAAGCAGGCGACAAGCACGCAGATCGCGCCGCCAAGGCTTTCCAAGCCGCCGAAGTCGACATGTTGAGCGCCAAGAACAACTACCTCATCCACATCGCCGTCTCCAACACCGCCAAACAGCGCTTCTACCGCACCGATCTGCCCGCCATCCAGAACAGCCTCCAGTCGCTCTGGACCTTCTCCACACAGCGCTTCGTCGCCGCTTCCGTCAAAGCTCAGTCGACCGTTGCGGCGCACCACGAACTCGTCGCCACAAAGCACCGCCATCTCGAGTCCAACGCATCGCACGTTGAGCCGCTCCAAGATCAGACACTCTTCGCTCAGCACAACCAGCAGCGATGGCAGGAGCCAGCAGGATGGTCGTTCGAGCCCTGCGTCGGCTTCTTCGACACTCCCGAAATGTCGACCGAGCCCGCCGCGGTGACAGTGCTGCAGAATCGTCTGCTGCGCTGCCGAGACCGCATCGCCGAACTCGAGCCTCTAGCCGAAACCAAGGCCAAGGAGGTCGACGGGCTGCACAAGCTGCGCGATGCCTACCAAGACAAGCCCGAGCTGGGCAATCCGGACGAGGTGATGGACCAGCTCTTCGACTCCACGCGTGCGCTGTTTGGCTTTCAGATCGAGCTGCACAATCTCGAGGCCGAGGTGGAGACCATCGTGGCGAGCATCGGCCAGAACCAGGGCGAGGCGCGTCCGCATCGATTCAAGCCTGCCTCGTTCGGCATCCCCACCGCGTGCCACTTTTGCGGCGGCACCATCTGGGGGCTAGCCAAGCAGGGCGCCGTGTGCAAACCGTGCGGGTACACGGTGCACCAAAAGTGCGAGATCAAGGTTCCCGCCGAATGCAAGGCTGCACCGGCGAGCGAGGCCCCGCGCGTCTCGGCATCGTTGAGTCGCTCGAATCGCTCCAGCGCCATCCTGTCGCCCGCACGGCCTGTCGCGACGCCCGCCCGTGCCGAAGCCCAGCGGCCGATGGGCAGCGTGCTGTACGCGTTCGAGGCGAGCAGTCCGTTTGAGCTGAGCGTGACCGAGGGCGAGCAGGTCGAGCTGCTCGAGGACGATGTAGACGCAACCGGCTGGATCAAGGTGCGCGCTGGCGCAGCGAGAGAAGGCCTCGTGCCCACGACGTACTGCGAATTTGGCGCTCAAGACGAGACGGGTGACGCGAGGTCAGCTCAGGATGCAGGTCACAGTGTCCAGATGGGAGCAGCGCAGGGCTGTGGACAGTTTGTCAAGGCGGTCTTTGACTACACGGCGCAAGGAGCGGATGAGCATTCGCTGACGACAGGCGAGCAGATTGAGATCACCACCACTGGATTCAGCTATGCCGATGGGTAGGTCGCCTAGCTTCAGAAAGCCCATAGCTAATGTTGATCCATCTGACCATTGCATTTCTTGTTCTCTGTGCGCCTGCGACAGATGGTGCGAAGGTGTCAAGGACGGGCGCACGGGCATCTTCCCATCCAACTACGTCGAGCAGCTCTGATTTGTCTCGAGCCCACAGCAATAGAGTTACGTAGCAGATTCGAAGCTAGCAGCAACGGCTCAGGCAGCGGACTCGTCGAGGAGGACGTACTCCCTGGTGCTGGCGCCAAAGGTGAGGGTGTCGCCGGTGCGAAGCTGGTAGTAGCGCGAGGTGGGGATCTCGGTGTCGTTGACGTACGAGCCATTGCTTGATTCGAGGTCGATGAGGAACGGACTGCAAAGGAAGGGGGGGATGCAATTGTCAGCTTGTCGGTCAAAAGGGAGGAAAGAGGAGCTGGCGAGTGGAGACGTACTGGATGCGCTTTTTCTTGTCTCCAAAGTCGTTGGTGGAGATGATCTGACGGAATTGGACGACGGCGTGCTGTTTGGAGCACGACTCGTGGTCGAGTGGGATGTCGACCACGTTGCGGTCGCGGCCGAGCAGATAGGCGGACTGGGAGCCCAGATGGAGGAGCTGCTGTTCCTTGCCATCCTTGAAGCAGTAGAGACGCCATCGCGTCTTTGGCTTGCGAGCCTCGGGCGGCTCGTGGTATTTGAGAGCCACGCCGTTGAGCATGTTGGACTCGGCCGCAAGCAGACCGGAAGGCGCAAAGTTGGGCGCATCGTCATCCGCGTCCTCCTCGATTTCGGTCTGGATGGGTTGCGCAGAGGGCGAAGTCGCACTGCGTGCTGAGCCGAGCGGTTCGGAGCGACGAGGTGGCGAGCGCGAACGCGAACGCGAACGCGAATGCGAGCGAGATTCAGATGGAGAGCGCCTACGGTGCGAAGAGGACTCGGCATGATCTTTGGATCGGCGGGAGGAAGAGCGTGAATGGCGGTCCGAGCGGTGTGGGTCATCTCTGCGGCTGGAACGGTGAGAGTCATCGCGTGATCTTCTTGAGCGAGAGGAAGATGAGGCTTCAGCATTGCGAGAGCTGCGGTGACGGTGAGGCGATCTTGATCGAGGCCTTTCGTGGTCTCGGTGACGACTGGATCGGCTGTCCTTGTCGCGATGCTCGCGGTGCGAGTGGGAGCGATGGTCGCGCGGTCTATCTCGTGATTCTCGTTCGCTTCTGCTGGTATGCCTTGAAGAGGAGCTGTGGCTTACTTTGTCGCGCGACGATCCAGCCTCTGGGCTGAAGTCCGCCATGGCGAGCAGCTGTTGAAGGTAGTTGGAGTGGTGTGGAGGAAAGCCCGCTTCGAGCTCTGTGCGGGTTGAAGGGAAGATCGGCGTGTGGAGCCAAGCCGAGATCCGAGCGCGGTGTGGTCCCAAAATGTTGGATCGCAGTCGAGCAACATAAAAGAGTCTTGCGGAAGATCACGGAGAGGCATCAGCACAAGGTCTAACATTGCCACATTTTGTGGCGCCCCTTCGGCAGAATTCGGCAGTGGGCAGGTGCGACGACGCATTATGTCAGCGGGCAAGAGAGAGTCTGAAGCGGAAGAAAATTACAAGCGCGCCCTGGCAGCAGCGCATTCGAGACGGCCATCGCGGCAAGACGCCCAATCAGAGACGAGTGGATTTCAAAGCCAAGGAAGGGCTGCTGGCTGCATTTTCGAAAAAAGAAAGCGAGCATGCGCGCGTGCGACTTTTCCAAGCTAGGCCGTGTGGCGGGCCAAAAGGAAAAAGCCGTTTCAGGCCGAGCCAGCAGTGGACGGCGGTGGGTCAGCAGCGCGTGTTTTGGTAATCAGCAGCAGCCAGGCGCACACACGCTCTCTCTCGCAATTCACACAGCGCTGGCCGGCTCGGGTGGCTGCTGAAGCGCGCCCATCGCCCGTCGCCCGTCGCCCCCCGCACGAGCAAAGGTGCCAGTTGGCGGACCAAGCCAAGAGCTGCTCGTCGCCCTCCAGGTCACAGCCGCGCGCGCGCTAGTGAATGAGTATGACATTGTCACTCGCTCCCATCCTTCACCACGAACAACCATCATCATCCTCCTTCCGCAACCTACATACAACCCGTCACAATGTCGCTATTCAACATCAGCAGCAGTCTGCGCACTGCGCTCCGACCCTCCATCGCCAGCTCGTCGCGCGCGGCCGCCTTCTCCACCACCGCCGCCGCACGTCTCGCCACCCCCACCAGCGACAACGTCGGCAGCTCCGGCAAGCCCCAGCACCTCAAGGAGTTCAAGATCTACAGGTGGAACCCCGACACCCCCTCCGAGAAGCCCCGTCTGCAGTCGTACACCCTCGACCTCAACCAGACCGGGCCAATGGTGCTCGACGCCTTGATCAAAATTAAAAACGAGGTGGATCCCTCGCTCACCTTCCGTCGTTCGTGCCGAGAGGGCATTTGCGGCTCGTGCGCCATGAACATTGACGGTGTCAACACGCTCGCCTGCCTCTGCCGCATCGACAAGGCCGGCGACACCAAGATCTACCCGCTGCCGCACATGTACATTGTCAAGGACCTCGTGCCGGACCTCACGCAGTTCTACAAGCAGTACCGCTCCATCGAGCCTTTCCTCAAGTCCAACAACACCCCCGCCGAGGGCGAGCACCTCCAGTCGCCCGAGGAGCGTCGTCGCCTCGACGGCCTCTACGAGTGCATCCTCTGCGCCTGCTGCTCCACCTCGTGCCCCAGCTACTGGTGGAACCAGGACGAGTACCTCGGCCCCGCCGTCCTCATGCAGGCCTACCGCTGGATGGCCGACTCGCGCGACGACTTTGG